CATAAGCAGGAACTGCGGCTTTGTAAGATAAGTATCGCTGGGTGCTCACAACAAAGTTACGCAAGCCGATGATGTCCACTCCTGATTGCTCCTCGGGACTGTTTATGAAATGCCACCTCGTCTTCCAGAAATATTCGGTAATAGGGATGCTCGAGAGCTGGCGCTTAGTAAGCTGTAGAAGCTTCCTTGTCCGACCGCGGTCAACAACCGGCCAGAAGGACCTTGCAACTTTGCAAGTCGGGGTTTTCGCCCAGCACTCGCTGAGCCGACTGTGAGCCCATATGGTCAGAAGTAGGCCGCATGTTGCAAACGGGTTCCCTTCCTAGCAAATTCATCAGCCTTGGAATTTCCAATGATATCACTGTAACCTAGGACCCAAATAAGCTTGATTTAGAAGTATTCCGAGGTGGGTGAGAGAGAAGTCAGACATTCCCCGATCAGTTTTGATCGTCCCATTAGCGATCCCAGTGCGCCAATTACCGCCTGGCTATTGGTGCCTAGCCTACCGGCTGCCTTTTTTTTTAGCGGCCACCTCGGTCTGAAAGATGCTGCAGTCTGAACATAAGATCTACTGAGAGTTCCTGACAGTAGACACCTCCTCCAACTTTCCCGTCCAGCTTCGATCCGTCCGTTAAGATGTTTATTGGACCTCTACTCCAGATACTACCATTCTCTCATTCGTCCCTTGGACGGATGTCTGTAGAGAAAAATCATCCGGCAGGGAGTCGAAGCTTTCGAGAATTGTCGAGTGCTTGTGCGCTGGGATGATAAAGAACCCAGAGCTTTTGAGCCTAATGACTGAGCGAACCGCCGCTATTTTGCCCGCAATATCGACAGGTGCGACATTGAGCATATCATTTGGCGCTGGAGTAGGAGTGGTTAGGATCGCTCCGCTGATGCCAACGACGGCTGCCCTTGGGACGCGCTCCAGCTATCTAACAAGAGTAGTATTTTCCAGTGAGTTCTAAGAGATAATGACCCCATATAACATGATTGGCTTGATAATGATTTCGTAGTGCCAGTACATCATTTTTTGGAATGATGCCTCATCTCTTCTCCATGGAATTTTCGCAGCATGATAATATTTGGCTTCCATGATAACTTTCCACCCCAGGCTCACGCTCAAGAACTTGCACCTGTCGGAGAGTGCCCTAGAACTTTCCTCTGGCGATGAGTGCTGACGGCGAGTTGCCCTTTTCGTCCCTATAGTATCCCAAGGGTACGGAGTTCCTGGCGAGGATTAACCTAAATCGAGACGATTCATTACAACCTTCTACGGTTTCGCAGCAATTTTTCCATGGCTCACTTTTGTCCTTTCTAATCTCAGACTTATAGATACTCAGTCTGACCTTCTAGAGTTGCCAGTCGCAGTGTTGTCCACGCTTCCTGGCTTTGTTGAAAAGGCGCCTGCTCGACACCCTGCGTTTCAAGAGTTCCTGGTATATTGGTGTTGGTTAATTTTTCCAACATGATGGTTTACTTAAATTATTAAAATCAGGAAGTCTAAAATTTACATTGATGGAGAGCTTATGGCAGAAGAAACGACCACAAACACTTCCATTAAGCTTTGACCTATCTGTAAAAAGTTCTTCCACCTCTACCTCCAGGCAACTTGCCAGCCTAATCATCCTGAGGGAATGTGTGCAGAGAAAAAGCTCAATTTCAGAACCCCACTGATCCGTGTATGCAGAGTTAAAATTTACAGGAAATTACTTTGGTCGAGAGATCGCATCTTTTAGCAATGACTTATTTGACGATGCCTGCCTTACTTTTATCTATGCTGGATGTTGGTTGAGTTTCCACGACTGCTTTCTATCTACAGTCAGGCCTAAGTACTTGACCATGTCAGAAAGCTTGCAGGCGAACATCTCCAAGTGAGGGAAGTGTTGTGTTAAGGATCCAGTACCTCTTAGTCAATAAGAGCAGATCTGTCTTTCGAGGATGGACGGGTAATGGTTTAGTAATTGCTCCCTTGTCATGAGTAGTTTTAGTATTTTGTCCATCCGCTGTTCTTATAAAACTATTTAAATGAACTTAACTTTATTCGGATTCGGTTCAAATTTAAGTGAGCATTTTTTTAGCCAACCAAGCATTTAGAGATTTAGATTTGAATGTATGCCAATCTTTTATTTTTCCTCCTATGAGCGGGAAAAAATCAAAAAGATCACTGACCTTCCCACATGCTCCGTACATTGACCATCATTTGCAAAATGTAAACAAACGTAGAGACCACACAAACCGCCGAAAATCGTTTGCGCTTCTACTCTCGAGTGCTTCATGTTTACTTACCGATCAGTTCCAAGAAAAAAGTCTTCATGAGCAGATGCCTTTTAAGCCCACGCGAAAACTCTAGCCTTCTAGAAACCACAAATAGGCGTAAGTAGACAAATGTATGTAAATGTTTAGGACTGTCCGTATGTATGCAGTTATATGTACGTAATAATTTTGAATAGTCTTGTACTCTACATATGTACATACATATGTAAGTGCATGTGAACTTGAGTTGCATTTTGGTGCCAAAGCCCCCATCTTCACCTCTCATGTGGCTGAATACCATTAGCTAAACGTTCTCGTCGCCTCAAGTGCGTTGTGAAGTGCTTCGGTAGCATTCCACTTCAAATGGCACTTAACCGATCGCCAGCAAGTGGCAGCAAATGGCCAATAATCGTACTCAATAATAACATAATTCAATTTTTGGTTGAGCGTTGAAGTAAAGTGGCGTTAGAGTAGAGTGTATATGGTTCTCTGTAGGCATAAAATCTATAAATATGTTAATGATTTAACCAAATGCTGACAGTTATAAATAAAAGCAAATTGCAGACAGAAAAACTTCGCGCTTGAAATAATATAAAATATTTTTAAGAAAATTTGTTAATGACAAGGCGAAAAAGTGCTACGGACTCAATACTTATGATTGAAATAATTTGAAAACTTTTGAAAAAATATCGACGCTTTATTACTAATCCAAAGATGCCTGTTAACTCCATTTTTCTCTGCATCTCTCTTGTACTGCTTCTCATCATCGGCTGTGACGCCTACCTGATAGATCAGTCCGGTGAAGTTGTAGAAGCCTACAATGACGTAACAACAACCGTAAGCCCTGAAGCGTTGGCAACAAAGGCGGAGTCGAACTTCGTGGAAACTTCGTTATCAGATGCATTTATAAAGCCATACAATATTTTGGAAACTAAACCATTGCCCCTTTGCCCGGAAGGCTTTGTTTTGGCGAATAAGCGTTGCCACAAAAGGGTGAGGGGAAAAGTGTGATGAGGGGAAACGAGTAGGAGAGAGCGAGAGAGAGTGTGGACTACATATTTATAGCTCAAACTGGTTAAGAAAAACTGTGATTATAATTAATAGACTAATTTATCAAAAAAAAAGTTTTAAACTTATTATTCAGAAATAAATAGTAAAGCTTTATTTTTATTTAAAAAAAATGTACAAACGTAAGTGCTAATTATTTAGAATGAAAATAAAGAATTGAATGTGGAAAATCTTTTTTGTTCAATTTATATTTGGAAAAAATTTTAATTTAAAAAGTTGCCTAACATACATTTTTTTTTAAATATTTTTAATATGAAAAATTAAGTATCATATTAAATTTCTCTATTTTTTAGCATAATAATATTATTAAAAAAGCTAAGGATTAAAAAAAAAATAAATGTTTTTATTAAAAATAAATTTAAGTTCAGTTATACATTAAATAAATTGAAGTAAAAAATTGAAAGCAAGCAAAAGAATTGAAAACCTTAAAAAATAGTAAGATTTGTTAAAATTTTACAATTATTATTTATAAAAGAAGCCACAAGTTTTCTGCAAGACAAAACAAGAATACAATTTTAGTTTGTTTTTTTAAAGATTTTTATTATTAAAGATGAATAAATTTCTTATAGAAAGAAAATTGAAATTTTTTATTTTATTAAATTTTTGAGATAAAAATTTATTTTTGGGAAGTGGGTTTTCTTTAACAAGCCCACTTTTATATTCTCTTAATTAGTGTTTGTTTTTAAAAAGTTTCATTCTGAAAAGTAAAAAAAAAGTTATTCAACTAAAAAAAAAAAATAGTTTTAAAAAATTAAAACTTCCTTTAGGTACGATTGACTCGTTATGATTTAAATAAATATCAAAAAAATAAATCGATAAAAAAAAATGTTATCCTTTTTCAGAATTTAGTTTTTTTCTGGAAACTTTTCTTGCAAGATATTTAATAAAAAATATTAATTATATGTCAACAAAAAAAAACAAATTATTTTTTTTAAATTTATCAATTAAAAAATGCATAAAAAATTAACTATAGGTAATCATTTAATTCCACAATTTTATTTCGCTTTAGGCCGTTGAGGAGATGTGATGATCTCCGAAATAGCTATCACTTCTACCATTTTTATAAATTATTCTTTTTTTTCCACAATAGTTTAAATGTTAAATTTTTTCTAAATTCAGTTTTTTTGAATTTTTTCTAAAAAATTTTCACTATTGATCATTATTTTAAGTAAATTTTCACAAATATGATAGTAAATTTATAAAAAAAAAGGTTTCTAAGAAATTTTTTGGTTTCTGAAAAAAACGAGTTTGCTATTAAAAATAATCAGGGTATTCATATAAACGCGTAAATGCCTCGTAGCTGTGTAAGCCTCGTAAATAAACGTAAATACAAAATTTAACAATTTTACGAGGTTTGGAAATGAGGCTTTTACGTGTTTAGATGAATTGCCGTAATATTTTTAACAAAAATGTCAATATTTACCGCAAAGATGATATTAAAAAACACAAAAAAAACTCTCCCACTTCCCTGCTCACCTCATATTTTCCTATCATTCTTGCTTCGCATTGGCATACAAAATTATCATCTTAAATCAACAAATGTCTCAACTCGGTTTTTTTCGCAAAACCGCACAATTACTGATAGTGTTTCGGGTAGAAGCCACGGCATCACGCCCAGTATGTTGTAATTATAACTGAGGTCTGCCGTTGCTCAATCAGTTCACAAATAGCCGCAAGCGAAGGTGGTCAACCGCTCCACTGAAAAGTATTCGGTCTCGAATCTTGGAAGAAGCAATTGATCAAAACAAAACTCAGAAATAAATACACGCGTACAGACAACATATAAAACACAAGGAAAACCCCAACAGTTTACATAAAAAATTATATATGTTCATACTTATATAGCATACAGTATTTTAAGAAATGTTTGCATTGAAATTACGAGTATCGTCAAATAAAACAGCAGCGTTGTTGTTTTTATTTAAGGTGATGCTGCTGATAGCGCAACATCAGCCGGTTGCTGCTGCCCCCAGTGCAGTGGAAAGTGGTAAGATGTGAAAAAAATATATTGAAAACTGTGCTATTTAAAAAGTGGAGCACCTTAAGAGAAAGTGAATCCTCAGTATTATTATCCTTCATAGCTGAGAGAGTGTGGATCAGTTGTGGATTGCAACTGGACCATGTCCTCTCACTGAACTGTTGTAGCTATGTCACCTTAAGGAGTATTCCCGACCGTCTACGGTTCACCTTAAGCTAGAAATGTGTTGCTGAGCTGAGCTGCAGTCCACCTAGATATACAAGGGTAGTCTATAGTTTTTTCGTCAAAAATAGCTTGTCTCTTCTGACTACAAAACCAAATGATGCCTAAACCTTTACTTTACTTCACTGTGTAACTTTTTATAAGAAGTCTTTTAAAACAAAATTAAAATGCAATACTTTCATGTACCTACATTAGGGTGGTCCTTAAAAAAAATCAGATGAACGATTTTTTCAGTCTCACCCCCTCAATCGCTGATACCAAGTTCACAGATATCACATATAAATTTTGGTCCCGATTGGAGACGGTTAAGGCGTGTCGCAAAGAGGTCAAAGGCCAAATGCCTCTAGAACTTAAAATATTAAAAATATTGTTTTCATTTAATGCCCAAAATCGATACTACTAAAGGCGAAGATATCACATATAAGTTTTGGACCCGATTGGGTTCGGTTAAGACGTCTTCATAGGGTAATTTGAACTTTGACCCCTCTGCGACTCGCCTTAGCCGACTTCAATCGGGACCAAAATTTGTATGTGATATCTTCGACTATAGTAGCATCGGCGTAGGTGTTGGATTTAAGAACCACCCTAATGTACATAGTTATCATAATGTAATTAAAAAAATATATGTGTTTTTTCAGCCACCGAAAATTATATCTCCAGGCGTATAGCAGACATCTTCAATTTGAGCGAATCAAATTGGCCAACTGAAAGAGTATTGCAAGAAAAATTTAATGAAATTGCCCAACACATTATTGCCGATGAGAAGATAACGAATGCTACAGCGGTGAAATTGGAAAGTCGTTTTAATTTGCTGGATACGCTCGCATATTGTGGCGAAGGCTATGTGTATGTGTTGAGACGTTGCAGAAAACTGGTGTAGCAACTAGAAGGAGATTGTGTATCATTGGCAACATAGTTTTAAGAATTTTACCTTATAATAGAAATTGCTCATTCTTTAATAATAATAAAAAATAGGGTTAATACAATATAGAGAAAATAATGAATTAGTTTTATTTCCGCTTTAAGCCGATTTGTGGCAACGCTGATTCACCACTACGTGCCCCTCGGGACAGTGTGGCGCTAAGTTCAAGATACCCAAGCGATCGTCGACAGATGAGGGCGTTACATTATCTGTTGAATTGCCTGGTGCGGAAACTGTACTCGTGGTACTGCTGGTTGTAGTCTCTATGACGGTTGTTTCTTGGGTGGCTTCAACGTTGCTGACTGTTTTATTTGTCACCCCTTTCGGTGGTGGTGTAACTTTCAAGCCATAAATATCGAATTTGCTCTCCTCCTCTGAGTCATTGGTTGAAGGAAAGACAATTTTTACTAAAATGAGAAGCAAGAAAAAAAATTGCCATTTACTGATTGTTAAAAACATGGAAAATTAAAAATTTAACAATATTTGCGTTGCTTAAGAATATGAATTACAATTTTTATTAATAAACAAATTTTTGCTTAAATAATATTTGGCCACTTTCACTGCAAATTAGAAATTTAAAAAGCCTTAAAAAAGTTTTAAGCGCATGTCTCGAAATATAATAGGTTTTATGATGTCGATGGATAAACAGTACACATTTTTTTAATGAAGAGTGATGCACCCTAATGTACATTTTTAGCAGAAAATGGTTTAAAAGTTAGTTATGATTTGAAAATTGGACTTATAAAAATAAAATAAATATTGTACTTAAGCTGAGAAAACATTTCTCCTGGAAAAATAATTTAAAATTTGCAAACATTTTTTACTTCTATGTATGTACATTAGTACATATGTTTTAGAGATTTACATACAAAATACATATGTATTTCAATTCAAGGGTTTGTATTTTAATGAATGCAAAACTTAAGATTTTACTTACATAAAAAAGAAAGCTTAATTTTTTCAAATTTATTTGATGTTTTTACGGTTTTGTTTAAAATATGCTTCCCGTATTGTGTGTGTGTGTGAATGCATGTATGGTACATATGCAGGTATATTAAGTGGTGACAGGTAATAAGATCAACGAAAATAAGGTGAATTGACATTATTACCTTTTTAAAAGCGAAGTAAAATCCATTGACATTATTGCTCTTTCAAACATTAAATTTGCTTAGCTTCGCGGCGGCCCGCGTACCCCCCGCGCGACTGGCGCGCACACCAATCACGCTACGCCGCGGCCCCCCCTTCCCCGTCTCCCGCCGTGCAGTAACGCAGGTAGATTTATTTTTTGTAAACATTGAAATAAAATTTTTCTATATTTTAAACATCGAGGGCTTATATTCAATAATACCCTCTATCTGCAGACTTTTCACAAAGATGAGTTTCTGATATAAAAATCCACCTAAGCTTTAACTGTCATCGGTGATATTAATGCTACCTTATATAACGACAGGTAATAAGTCCCAGATGGTTTCTAAAATCACAAATTAGTGCATTGTGCAGATTGCAGATAGAGGGTATTAATGAATTCAAGCCCTCGATATTTCACATTTTTATATTTGTAAGTTATTGGAAGCAGGGATGCCAACTTGGCTCAAACCGTGCCATCTGTCCCTATTTTACTTCAAATGGCACTTAACTTTTCAATTTGGCACAAAGTGCCAAAATCGCACTTTTGTAAAAATAACATTTCAATACATTTTTGTGAAATCCCTTGCGTGCACTTCTTTTTCTCAACTAAAATTTTCTAATTTATAAAGACTATTCAACTGGTTTATCTTATTTTATCATTGTACTTTTGTTTTGAAAATGTGGCTTTATTTTATTGCAAAATGTGAATAATTAAAAGGAATTACACCTTTTTTGGCACTTTTATTTTTCTATTTGGCACATTTTGGCCCTTTTTTATCCTCAATATGGCACCTCATAACTAAGGATAGTTGGCAGCCCTGATTGGAAGATTTCTGCTGTGTTTTGGGGCAACAACTTGTCTGCAGTAAAAAAGCATATAATTTGTGTTTCAAAAGTGCGTGAAAACCAATCAATTCACTTATATGATCTCGGTTCCGATATTAAATAATCAATAATTGTTTATACCCGCATTTTGGCACATTGGCTTGAGTGTGCCATCTAATAAATAGTGTCGTCGTTCGCCTTGCTTTTAAATGATGTCCCAAATTGCTGGCGGAGACATGAATACAGTGTAAGAAAATTCCTTTTCTATAATTGTTTCCTTATAGAAAGGTTGGTTTCTTTTCCACCTTAGACATTCCGAATTCATTCAAAATATGCTAATTTAAAACACAGAATTCTTTGAGTGTTCCTCCGGAGTTTTAGGACATGGACTGTTTGTTCAATTTATTAGTGTTCGCTTTATTTTTGTTTAAACAAAACATGTTTTGCAAGTTATGGATCATTTCCACAGTCTTTCTTCAAATATTTCTCGTATTCCAGCTGTGCTTTGCGTTTAGTTTTTCCCATCGTGTTTTTACATATTCGTAATTTAAATTTTTTTAATAAAATCAATTGGTGGTAGTTCATGATTGTGTGTGGATTAATATTACCACACTGAGGATTTGGCAATAACCTTTGTCATCTATTAAAAAACAACACTTACGGGGCAATGTTTATTGTAAAAACAACACTTTTTTCTATGAATCGACATACTTTAAGCATTGTTGACGCTATTTCCATTTGAATGAGGAAATAGCGTCAATGACTTTATTTCCAAGTTTTTGTTGACTTTATTTCGCTTTTGAAAAGGTAATAATGCCAATTGACTTTTTTTCGCACCAGGGTGGGAAATAAAGTCAATTGACCTTATTTCCGTTGATCTTGTTACCTGTCACCATATTAAGTATTTGAGCCATTTTATAGTAGTTCCTCAAAATGTCAAAAATATGCATGATTTTTAAATTTTAGAAATGTTTAATTTTTAAAAATTTCCGCGTAGAAGTTCAATTTTGCTCATTTTATATAAAACATAATTCTAAAACTTGAGAAATTCTTACATGTACATTTGTATACTAAAAATTACTTAAAATTTCAGTATGAATTTTTAAACTTTAAAAATTTTAAATTTATAAAAAAGTCAAGCACTTGTTCCTCATGCATATAGAAAAAAAAGATTAATATAAGTCCATAAGATAATATTATAACATTTAAAATTAGTTTTCTAATATGTAGAAATAATTAAGATTTTAAGTTCTTTGTGCGAAAACTATCTTGAAAACCTTAAATTTATTGCAAAGCATTGAAAATAAAAAAAATGCTTAATGGAAATATTTTTAAATTAAAATATGAAAATTTTATCAAGTATTTTAGTTGAGTAAAAGTAACTAAAAAAAATTGGGCGCTTGAAAAAATTAAAAAAAATGCTTTAAAAAGTTGAAATTGTTTGAAAAATTTCGTAATTTTTCAATGGGAAAAAATTGCTTAGTAATTTTCAAAACTTTTCTGACCACTTCCGCTGCATAATTACCACTTTTTGCGTAATCTTCCATTTTTTGCTGACTCGGCGTGCAGTCCATCACCGGCAGCTTACTTTTTTGTGTAGTCGTCGTTGTTGGTGTCGTCGGCGATGACGTTGGCGTCGTCGTTTCATCTACCGCCACCGCAGTAGTAGTCTCTTCGACCGCTGGCAGCGTAAATGCAGCGCTTTGACTGTACACTGTTGCAAACAGCAACAATAACAATGTTGTTAATTTAATCGACGACAGCATCATTATACTACTGGCGAGAGACATACAAACATAAGTGATTTTTTCTTAAATTGATTTTTCTTGTTTGTTTGATTGCTATTTAGTAAATATGAAATCGGTTTGTTTGCTTCTGTTTATTTTATTTTTTTCGTTTTTTCTTGCTTTTTGAAATTTTTTATTTTGTTTTGTTCGCTGTTTGCCTTTCTCTCCACCTTCTCACTTTATTCTTTAACTCTTTTAATCGTTGACTCCTCGTATCTTCTGCCGTGAAACGCGCATCGCCGTGCTATCGCATCCACTGCCACTTTCTAACTGAACTGCGCGTTTCGAAGTACATTAAGTTTGCACGCCAAGCTTTGAAATCAATCTCTAATCGACATCATATTTAATGTTTTCATTTATTTATTTTTAGTTTATAGCAGGTATGTACTTACTTAGAAAGAATAGTGATGAATAATGGCTGCAAAATAAAGAGAATTTAGTAACTGAAAATAGGTGAAAAAAAAATTGTATAGCCGCACTGCAGATGAGCAATAGTTTGGTATAAATATAAATGAAATTGTAAATGCAGTTAATTATAGACTGATGACACTAATATTTTTACGTGGTAAAGTACGCCACCTCCGGTAATGGAAATGCGGTGACATGGGTTCTGTCGTTCTTAGAATAAGACTTTTCGGAAGACCACCAAGACCAGACCCCTTGTAGAAAAGTGCAAACCGGCGGAAAGTTGATGTTAGTATCACTAGCGCTGCTAAGGGCTTAAACACTATAAAGAGGACTAGGCAGGAAGGCATGAGCTCCTCCAAGAACAGCTGCTCGACTTTTGCGACTGAGCTCTGAGCTAGTTGTGCAATAACAGCAGTGCAAATTGTTTGAAGTCAGAGCCGTTACAGCTCCACTGATAAAAATTAGGTAGCTCTTTTCGTCAGGGCTCAGAGCGTCTAGCTAGCAGAGCCGAGTATTATCGCTAACTTAGTTTTTACCCAAACAGACGATATGGTGTTGGAACCGGAAAGGCATGAGCAAATACATAGATCCTCAGCCTATATTTATCCACAGCTCTTGTTAGTTGTTTGTCTTCCACGACCATAATTAAGGTAGTCAAGAAGCACTTTACCCAGCCAATGCTAGAAATGGGACATCCTGACTTCTATATCATTCTACAAAACAGACATACATAACTACTTCTGGGTCTGTACAGTGTCTATATTTTATTGTTTTTATTCCTCTATGTAGGATGATAGTGGATAACCTTTCTGATGCCGTGAATCTTGGTGTCACCAAAGGTGATTTAATCTTGTTCCTTGCGTCGAGGAACGGTTATTGCCCTTTATAAGAAGAACTTCTCCGGGTAGGGGGAATATAACTTTTAGTTACGTTGTGCTCAATTTCACCACGGAGCGGAAGTAGTTTGGTCTAAACCTGGACTCCAAGTTTCTGTGGAAAGCTCCAGCTGATATAACCACTTCAGAGCTAAGCAGGCATTAATGTAGGTTCAGCGGGGTAGTCTTGGACGTATAATCCAAAGATACTGAGAAAACTGTATGCTACGTTAATACAAGCAATACGGACTGATACCTTGAGTTTTGAGAATGGATTACGGAAATAATCCGTACATGTCCGAATGCACCACCGGTGGCAATTCTCAAGCTTGAGCCACTATATATGACCATAGAACTTCGCATCACAAGGCTTTGTTCAAGAAAAAGTAAACTTCGAGTGCTCCTACTAGTCCCTTTCTCCAGAGATATAGGTCTGCAGGAAATCAGCCCGGAGGTCTTCATTATGAAGGCCTTATAATTAACCTCTATAAAGAGAATCTGGGGACATTCTTACAGGGCTCTGCAGGCTAAAAAGTATTCTTTAGTATTCGACTAAATGATCTCTTCCGCTAAAGAGACGAAATTGCTCCCAATCCTTGAGCTTGAGGTCGTCTTAAAAAAAAAAAGAGAAGAGCCTGGATTCATTGTGGACAAAATATATGTATGTGGTCTTGTGAAGAGTAGAGGACAAAACAGATCAGTTATGCCGAAGTGGATTACCTCGTTTTCGCCCCTATATATCCAGTCAACTTGGACTTGGCTTCATTTAGTGAGCATGCAATTGAGGGGATCCTAGCGAGACTAGACTGGCATACGAGACAAACTCCGGACCTCATTTATCTGACTAATAAAAAAATTAGTGGTTAGTGGATAATCTATGACAAGGATACGTAGAAGCAGTGCTCCGACGGTTTTGTATCAGCTGCCGCAAGTAAAATCGATCGTCTTAGTTGCGACAAAAAACTGCAGGTAAGGGTGCACCAGGAGAGGCAGTAATGAGAAGCGGCTTGAGCGAACACAATAACGTAAGCGAGCAGTATCTAGGGGATGCCGCAAGTGGACTTGCAGAATTCGACGAGCCGGTTGGAGGAACCTGAGGTAGTATACCCAGCACATATGTCCGAAAGCCGAGAAATCGAGAAGCCATTTTCTGGTTGCTCATCTAAGCGGGACTGGAACGGTCCGTGGTAGAATGTGAAGGGTTCCTTCTTGAGTGAAGAACTACATATTGATTCGTTATTTAATCAGACGAATCCCTCCGGAAATGGTCTTCCCATGCAACCTCCTTACATGCAGGGTACAATTATTAAACTGAATTTAACAATAAACTCGCAATACTGAAGCGGTTTTATATACATTTATAATGCACTTGAATTTGCTGTTATGCTAAAAAAATTCAGAAAAATTCTATCCTTTTTTTACTTGTTACTTTTCTGATGTCTTTTGTTTTACTTTTTCCATGAGTTATTTTTTTTTAGTTGAATTTCATTGCTCAACTGCTTGTTAGTGACATAGATATTGCTAGTATTACATGAGTAGTTGCTCTCTTGGGATGCCATAGTTAATATGCTTAAGCATGCTTAAGTAGAAATTCTAATTAACTACCCACAGCGAGCAAATACATACATACAGGAGGCGGCATTTTGTCATAAATGTCAAACATACTAATGTTACAGTTAGTGCAAGGAGTGTACTTAACTTTATACATCAAACTATGGATTGTGCTTAAAAGAAAACGCCAAACCAAACGCAACAATTAGTTCTGAAGCAAACTGCGAAGTGGCAAGTTCTCGGCGAAAAAGCTAGGGATTGAAGGACTAAAAATCTAAATAAAAAATCTACATACAAATACAAGCAAAGAAATTCTATAATTTAGAAGTGCAGGAAAGAAATAATCCTAAATTTTTATTATAATTAGCAAAGAAAATCCTAAGAAAGAGTCTAAGACCTCATCAACACCGAAGGTCTTCCCAACTATTACAACAAATACTACCTTGTCCAATAGCTCAGCGGTTCATTTTTCCTATCCACTCAACAAAATGCCTGCGCGCAGCATAAACTCAAGCAGTAAGAAAAGCAACTACAACATCTGTGAAAACAACAAAAAACTTCCTAAACGCCCGCTGTGGATTAAGCACCTTCGCTGGCTTACCTTTATCATATTAGTGATATTGCTGGTGCATGGATATGCTTGCACCAATGGACGCATCTTTGCTGGCGGACGTTGCCGCAATCCAGCTTAAAATATTAAAAATGAAAACTAGTTTATTTTTTATTCTAACTATTTATTATAAATACACAGGTGCTAGTGCTTTGTGACCTGTGTTAATAAATTTACTTGCAATTTTCCAAAAAAAAAAATTATTATTTTTTTAATAATTAAACGGCTTATCATAACGGCCGAAAGAAACGAGTGGTATATACATACATCTACATATGTATCAAACGTTGTAAAGCCTCTGCTATGTAGCTTCGTCCTTTAAGTGCGTAAATTCTCCAAATCTTGCAGTAGATTTGGTTGTTGTTATTGTTGTGATTGAAACGTGCCATTTCGTTCGGATGGGACCAGAGGGAGACGGGTGTTAGTTGAGTTGGGTAGAGGCGCCTTGAGAAGGGTTAGTACTGCGAGGGAATCTTCATATACTAGACACTCATTGGATAACTCTGGCTTGCGTCTGGAGTCTGCTGATTCAGGATTTATGGCGGCAATCAGAGGACGATAGCAAGTGAAGGTGGTAACAGTCTCCCTATGAATTTTATTCCCAGTCTGTATAGTCCCAGATACACCAACCGGTGTATGTATCGTTGAATCTCGTTCGGTGGAAATATCTCGAGGTGTGCGTTGTTCGAGTGCTCACCACTGTAGTACTCTACTTGGTGCTGCATTGAGTCGATTTGGAGTATGTCGCTCATTGGTGACTGTAATGTGCAATGAATACAACCAAATTTTTTTCGCTTAGGTATCTTCACTTCTTATAAGTAAGAGCTTATTCAGTTAAGGTGTTTCCTCGCCAGCAAGCTTTTGAGTTCAAAAACTTCTTCTTTGCGACGGTTTGCTAATAATGCTAATTGTTAACCTCGTTAACTTTTTCTAACCTCCCATCCTTGGTGGCTAATTTCAATTCAAATGAGTTCTGGCTCAAAGTGCGTGGTATTTTAGGCAGGGTGGTTTTGGGTGTTAAACTACGTGTCAGTCAGTGGCGGACCCACGGGGGGTGTTTTAACAACCAAAACCGCCCCCGCTTTTCTTTTTTAGAATATCAGTGACTTTGGTCTAAGTCATTTAACTGCAGTGCTCTCGGGCTAGTTATACTAGGCGATAGGCACTCATCGGTAGCTTGAAGAAAAAATGGTGGTACCTCCCTCCTTTTCCGCTCAACATTTATCTCGCCAAATTCCCCCCTCGTAGCCAGGAGTTTTCGATCGTCTCAAACGTCGATGGCAACTCTATTATGACTACTGTACATAACATTTGTGAGCTCCTTTCACTGGTAAACAGCTACATCAATGGTCTTATGTGCTTCTTCCTGACAGGTAATCTCTGTTGATCCCCTGGAAGAAGGAAGTGAAACTTGAAATGAACGTAGATTTCGATAAGGCTAAAAATTCCGACCGTAAACTCCGCCCGTTACCATCGAAATGCTCTTCTTGGCGCGGAAATAAAATTCGCAGCAGCAACTAAGTTCTCAATCACTTTCCGGCAGCATCTAGGGAAAAAGAAAGTAGCAAACTATGCCGCTCCAGTGTGGACCGTGCGCATCATTGGTACCCAATGGCCTAACCTTCAACATGAGCTCTGCACGCCGCCTCTGCGTCGCTTCTCGTGTCATCGTTTCACCACCTACAAGACGAAGCCGAACTACTTCCGGTGAAGTTTCCCTTGTCTAAATACTTCATGTGTGTTTGCCATATCCGCCACCTCACATTTAACTAGATGGTTAAAGAAATATATATCTATAAGCAGTCACCTCATCCAC